TCCAAGAAATCATGTCCCCAGAAAACCTTCCGGGGACATGGTTCATCATGGGCCCGAGAGTTCCCGGAGGCCCCCAAATGGCCCCCAGGGAACGCCCAAGAGACCCCCCAACACACCCCGACAAACCATGTCCCCAGAAAGCCTTCCGGGGACATGGTTCATCATGGGCCCGCGAGTCTCTGGAGGCTTCGAAGTACCATCATGCTACAGGAGAGCTGTCTGGGAAGTTGATTGGGAACATGACTGATCGCCTTCTCGCGGCCCTCCGCAGATCGTTTCGCACAAAGTTGCCCCAAGTGCCCTCTTGAATCGACGACGACGACGAAATCACGAAGACGACGACGACGACGACGACGACGACGACGGCGACGACGACGACGACGACGACGACGACGACGACGACGACGACGACGACGACGACGACGACGACGACGACGACGACGACGACGACGACGACGACGACGACGACGACGACGACGACGACGACGCGCGCCCCAATAGGCGACGACGACTTCACGACGACGACGACGACGACGGCACGCCCCAACAGGCTCCCCAAGACGCCCCCAAACCCATGCTCCCAGAAGGCCTTCTGGGAACCCGATTCATACGGCCTCTGCCGCCCTACACAACCATTTTCCTCGATGGCCTTTCGGAATGCAGACTGGCATGCGTGGACTGTGGTCCACTACTTCAGTGGAGCAGTGAATTCGTCAAGGCCTGGGGCCTGCTAGAACCAGAGCGCGCGCGAAGCGCGCGCGATGGTTCTAGTATATATATATATGTATTTTATATATATTTATATATATATAAGTGTGTGTGTATATGCATTTGTGCATGTGCATGTATGTGTATGTGTATGTGTATGTGTACGTGTATGTGTATGTGTATGTGTATGTGCATATGTATATGTATGTAGCTATGTATTTGTATTTGTATACGTACATGTATATGTATATAGGTAGGGGTATAGGTGTATGTGTATATATATATATATATATATGTACATGTGTATGCATATGTATCTGTATATGTATATGTCTATGCATAGGTATATGTATAGGTATAGATACATGTAAATGTATATGTATATGTATATGGATATGGATATGGCTATAGATATGGGTATGTATATGTGTATGCATCTGTATATGTATATGCACATGTGCATGTATATGTATATGCGAATGTACATGTGCATTCATTTGTATATGTATATGCCTGCGCATATGTATATGTATATGTACATGGATATATAGATGTATATGTATATGCATATGCATAGGTACATGTATATGTATATGCTTATGCCTAGGCATCGGCAACTGTGTAGGTATATGTAGATGTATGGGTATATGTATTTGTATTTGTATATTTGTATGTATACGCACACGTCTATATGTATATATATAATACACATGTGTATATGTATATGTATATGTATATGTATATATACATGCATATGTATATGTATATGTATGATCATACGTATATGTATTTGCATATGTATATATAAATGCGTATGTTTATGTCGATGTATATGTATATGTATCTGTATGTGTATATGTATTTGTATATGCATATGTATATGCATATGTACATGTACATGTATATTTACATGTAGATGTATATGTAGATGCATATGTATATATACACATATGTATATGTATACGTATATGTTTATGTACTTATATATGTATATGTATAGATATATGTATATGTATATGTATATGTAGATGTATTTGTATTTGTATATGCATATGCATATGTGTGTATATGTCGATGTGTGTATACATATATATATATATATATAGATATGTGCGGGCAAGGCCTCAGGGGGCTCAGCGCCTGTGGCCCCTGGCTCCTCCACGCTGGTGCCGGATGCCCTTTCGCGTCCGAAGTGGTCCCCGCTTTCGGCCCAGATAGCCCCGAGGGCGCCCGAGGGCACCCCGAGGCGGCCCACGAGGCGCCCGGGACGGATTCAGATTTTTCCAAGGCTCCCAAGGGAGGCCCAAGAGGGGCCCGAGAGCGCCCAAGAGGCCCCGAGACGTCCCAAGTGCGCTCTGACACGGCCCAATGCGGCTTCAGGACAGCTCAGGAGGCTCCCGCGACCCCCCAAAGGCCCCGTAGACACCCCTGAGAAGGTTTGAGGAGGCGAGAAACACTGATTTCCGGGTGTTTTTTGAGGGATTGGGGGGTTCCTTTTTTTCCGGGCCAAGAGCGGCCCAAGACGATTCTGACGGCCTCCAAGATCGCGCGCAGACGGGCCCAGAGGCTCCAGAAATCGCCCCAAGACGGCCCGTAGGCCCCTCATAGGGCCCTGGACGGCCCAGGAGGGTCCCAAGACGGCCCAAGAAGGCCCCGAGACCGCCCATGAGGGCCCCGGCGCGGCCCGAGAGATCCCAAGAGGCTCCCAAGAGAGGCCCAATACGGCTAAAGCCCGGCAAGACGGCTCAGAAGGGCACCTGGACGGCCCAAGAGAGCCCCCGAAACCAACGCAATTCGAGCAGTAGTCGGACCCCCCTGGAGGCATCCTCTCCTCGGGGCAGGAAGGCTGCAAGGAGCCTCGCAAGCTCCCTAAGACGGACTTTGCAGGCTCTCAAGACGGCCCGCCAGCCGCCCACTCCAATTGCCAATATTGGCCCCAAGACGGCTTGAAGTGCGCCCCCAGAGGGCCCCAGGCTGAAACACATTCGGCACAACTCCCACAGTACATAGTGTTCGACTTGTGCCGGCTTCGTGTTTGTATTGTGCCCGTCGTTGGCCCACTTCAGGCGATCCTGGTGCTACCTTGCGCCCCCCCCCCTGGAGGCATCCGATGCTCTCCTCGGGACCTGGGAGGGCTTGAGGAAAGCGCCGAGGAGCCTCAGAGTAGCCGCCCCCAAGCTCCCCAAGATGACCCCTTATAGGCTCCCAAGCCCCCCCCCAGACGCTCCCCAATCCGACAATATTTGCCCCAATGAGGTTTCAAGTGCGTGTATGTAGTATTGTATATATATGTAGGTAGGTCCGTCTGTATGTAGATACGCAGTATGTATGTATGTGTGCATGCATGTATGTACGTACACACGTGTGGGTGCACGCATGTATGTTGCATGCAAGTACGTTTTAATGTATGTACGTTTTAATTTATGTACTTATACATGCATGTGTGCTTGCAATGCATATACACATGACATATATGTATATATACATATATATGGAGGTATGTACGTATGCATGCATGTATGTATGTATGCACGTATACATGTGTGTATGTACGTATGCATGTGGATACATGTATTTACGTGGTCATGTTTATTCATGTATGTATACGTATATATGCATGTATGCACGTATGCATACACGTATGCATGCACGTATGCATGCCACGCATGCATGTATGTATGTATAGCTGTAGGTACGCATATGTGTACATATATGTGTATATATATATATGCATAGGTATGCATGTGTGCATGTCTGCACGCCTGCATGTATGCGCAAGCACGCGTGTATGCATGCATGCATGTACGCATGCATGTAAGTAATGTATGTAGGTATGTGTGTATGCATGCATGCATGCAGGTACAGACGTACGTACGCATGTATGTATGTATTTATGTATGTACGTATAACTAAGTATGCATGCATGTATGCATGTATGTAGGTAGGTAGGCCGGTATGTATGCATGTATGCATTCATGTATGTACATGTGTATGTATGTATGGCAGTCAATATACATGCATGTATGTATGCAGGTATGCATGCATGCATGCATGCATGCATGCATGCATGTATGTATGTATGTATGTATGTATGTATAGCTGTATGTATGTATGTATGCATGTCTGCATGTATGTATGTATGCATGCATGCATGCATGTATGTATGTATGTATGTATGAATATATGCCTGTCTGTCTGTCTGTCTGTCTGTCTGTCTGTCTGTCTGCATGCATGCATGCATGTATGTATGTATGTATGTATGCATGTATGTATAACTGTATGTATGTATGCATGTCTGCATGTATGTATGTATGCATGCATGCATGCATGTATGTATGTATGTATGTATGTATGTATGAATCTATGCCTGTCTGTCTGTCTGTCTGTCTGCATGCATGCATGCATGCATGCATGCATGTATGTATGTATGTATGTATATATATATATATCTGCATGCATACATACATGCATGCATGCATGCATGCATGTATGCATGTATGTATGTATGTATGTATGTATGTATGTATGTATGTATGTATGTGTCTATGTATGTATATATGCTTGTATGCTTGTATGTTTGTATGTATGTATGTTTGTTTGTTTGTTTGTTTGCATGTATGTATATATATATGTATGTATGTATGTATGTATGTATGTATGTATGTATGTATGTATGTATGTATGTATGTATGTATGTGTTTGTCCCCATCCAGGGGGATCAATCGACCAGTGGGGTCAAAGCCACTCCAGTAGGGATGGGCTTCCCGAAGAACCCAAGACGGTCAAGAGAGGCCGGAGACCCCGGAGGCAGCTCCCAGACTGCACCAAGGGGGCTCAAGAGGACACCAAAGAGCCGCAGGATCCTGCGCAGGATTCTCCAAGACGGCCCGAGGGGGCCCTGCGAGGCTGTCAAGACTCCCCAAGCGGGCCGCGAGAGAGGTCCCAAAACAGTTTAGGAGAGCTGGAACTTGGGGGCCGAGCCAACGATTTCCAGGTCTGGGGGGCATTTGCTCTGCGTGAACGACGTTGCCCCCTCGATTGTGGCTCGGACAGTTCGCTGATCCGACGGTGGGATCCTGGACGGCCGACGTGGCTTTCGATCGGTGCTTCTGGCCCAGTCGGACCTTGCCCGTCGCTTTCAGAAAAGATTGCATCAGCGAGTGAAGAGTAGAGCATTATCATGCTGGCTGGATCGAGATTAGGTGATTCAGCCTGGATCTACAGGCTGTGCATGCCATATCTGATTTACCGGCTGCGTGCACCCGCGTACGCCCCCGTACGCTGCGTGCCAGGTGCTCAACCCTTTCTGCAAGCGCCTGGGCCTGGAAGACGGCGGGGCCAGCGCCGAGCGCGGGCGAGCAGCGTTGAGAGCGCCCTCGGAGGGAGCCAGGGTGAGGATACCATCCATGCATCAGAATTCGGATGGGCGAGGCGGAGGGGTGTAGTGGGCGGAGGAGGAGGAGGAGGAGGAGGAGGAGGAGGAGGAGGAGGAGGAGGCGCGAGGAGACCCAGGCCTTGGCGAGGGGCCCAGGCTCATGTACAATGGGCCTCTCGTATCGGACTTGGCTCACCCTCCCCTTTGCGGGCACGCCGCGCGGGGAGGCCTTCCTTTTCTGCCAGTGGGGAGGCGCGAAGCCATATTCAAGTTGCCGGACCCGGGCAATAGGAGCACGGTTGGACGTCCAGGCCGATGTTCCGAGGATGTCTCGAGCGAAGCGGGCATTCTTTGAGCATCCCCGCGGGTCGAACGGCTCAGGCCGGCTGAATGGGCGAAACCTATCCCAGCATGCCTGACGGTCGGCCCCCGAGGTATCAGATCGAGGTCGGTTCGGTGAGGGTACCCTCATGTTCTTCGTGCTTGCGGGACGTTCTCGTGCACCCTGTGGGCAGGGCACCCTCGAATGCTCTTCCGTTTGGGCCGGCGGAGGGTCTCGTGTTCTCGTTTTTTGTTTTTCCCAACCATCCTGTGGTGTTGGGTCTTCGTTTTGAAGAGACGGTGCCCCGCGTCTCCTTCCTCCTCTCCTCCTCCGCCTCCTCTCCCCTCCTATCATCCTCATCGTCATCATCATCATCATCATCATCATCATCATCATCATCATCATCATCATCATCATCATCATCATCATCATCATCATCGTCATCATCATCATTATCATCATCATTATCATCATCATTCCTCTCCTCTCCTCTCCTCTCCTCTTCTCTCCTCTCCTCTCCTCTCTCCTCTCCTCTCCTCCTCTCCTCTTCACCCACCCAGTACACCGTTTCGTGGCCCCATAGGGAGCTCCACCGAAGGCCCCAGTGCCCGCGCCCGCATGCGTCACCCACACCCATTTCGGCACACCCCTCACACGTTTCGTGGCTCCATAGGGAGCTCCACCGAAGGCCCCAGTGCCCGCGCCCGCATGCGTCACCCACACCCATTTCGGCACACCCCTCACACGTTTCGTGGCTCCATAGGGAGCTCCACCGAAGGCCCCAGTGCCCGCGCCCGCATGCGTCACCCACACCCATTTCGGCACACCCCTCACACGTTTCGTGGCTCCATAGGGAGCTCCACCGAAGGCCCCAGTGCCCGCGCCCGCATGCGTCACCCACACCCATTTCGGCACACCCCTCACACGTTTCGTGGCTCCATAGGGAGCTCCACCGAAGGCCCCAGTGCCCGCGCCCGCATGCGTCACCCACACCCATTTCGGCACACCCCTCACACGTTTCGTGGCTCCATAGGGAGCTCCACCGAAGGCCCCAGTGCCCGCGCCCGCATGCGTCACCCACACCCATTTCGGCACACCCCTCACACGTTTCGTGGCTCCATAGGGAGCTCCACCGAAGGCCCCAGTGCCCGCGCCCGCATGCGTCACCCACACCCATTTCGGCACACCCCTCACACGTTTCGTGGCTCCATAGGGAGCTCCACCGAAGGCCCCAGTGCCCGCGCCCGCATGCGTCACCCACACCCATTTCGGCACACCCCTCACACGTTTCGTGGCTCCATAGGGAGCTCCACCGAAGGCCCCAGTTCATGCGTCACCCACACTCATTTCGGCACACCCCTCACACGTTTCGTGGCCCCATAGGGAGCTCCGCCGAAGGCCCCAGTGCCCGCGCCCGCATGCGTCAGCGACACCCATTTCGGCACGCCCCTCACGCGTTCCGTGGCCCCATAGGGAGCTCCGCCGAAGGTCCCAGTGGGTGTGCCCGCATGCGTCAGCCACTCCCATTTCGGCACACCCCTCACACGTTTCGTGGCCCCATAGAGAGCTCCACCGAAGGCCCCAGTGGGTGTGCCCGCGTGCGTCCCGCACACCCATTTCGGCACACCCCTCGTACGTTTCGTGGCCCCGTAGGGGGTTCCACCGAGAAGATAGTCACAATTGCAGTATTCACAATTGCATATGGTTGGGTCCTTCGCCAGGATATGTTTTTTGTTCTCTTGGCCTGGGTCCGACTGTAGGAGCGCGTGGGAGAGCAGTTCTCCCCAGAGGGCGGATGCTGCAAGGGGCCTGACCTGCATTTTGGGGGGGGCCGCTTCCGAGCCACGGGGTGCGCAGAGCGTGCCGTGCCGTGCCCGCGTGCCGTGCGGTGGCGCACCGTGCCAGGGCTCTGCGGGTGCCGTGCCGTGCTGCGCCTGGGCCTCAAGATGCGGAGGAGAAGGAGGAGGAGGAGGAGGAGGAGGAGGAGGAGGAGGAGGAGGAGGAGGAGGAGGAGGAGGAGGAGGTGGAGGAGGAGGAGGAAGAGGAGGGGGAGGAAGAGGCGGGAGGGGGAGGAGGAGGAGGAGGAGGAGGAGGAGGAGGAGGAGGAGGAGGAGGAGGAGGAGGAGGAGGGGAGGAGGAGGAGGAGGAGGAGGAGGAGGAGGGGGAGGAGGAGGAGGTCTGTGCCGTGCCGTGGCGTGCCGTGCTCGTGGGTCGCTGCGCGAGCGCATGAGTCCCCTCCCCTCCCGCGGCTGCTCCCCTCCTCCTGCGCAGGCCTAGAGGTTGGCACCAGCACCAATGTCGGCGGCGTGCCTCCACCGAGGGGAGAGGGTGATGGTGGCAATCTTCAGGGTTCCTAGGTGGCCGAACTATTACCGCCAGCGCCGGAATCCAGGCTCATCTTCCCCTGGTGAAGGCAAACCTCCTGTGTTGGCGTCGGCGCTACAGGAGGAATGTTCAAAAATAGTTAAACAATGGTCTGGGGACGATTTTTTGTTTTTTATTACTATGTTTGATGTTTTTTTTTTTTTTTTTTTTTTTTTTTGTTTTTTTTTTCTTTTGCGTCCAAAAACCGCCTGCAGGGGGATATGCCCGACCCAAGGCTTGCCCGAGCGCGCATGCGGACGGCCGCGGCCGCGCTGCGACGCAGGAGCGTGTCGTGGCGTGCCCGCGCGCCGTGCCGAGCTCAGTTTCTTGCAGCAGGGCGTGCCCGCGGCTCATAGCGCCAGCATCGCAGAGCGGATTTCGCTGGCCACGCGCAGAGGGGGGTAGGGGGGAGGGCGGAAGGCTTCTTAGAAGCACCCCTGCTTCTTAGAAGTCGCGGGCCTTCTTTATAGATGCAACGCCGGCGCCTTCTAAGAAGCAGCCTCCTTCTAAGAAGCCTTCCCCCCTCCCCCTACCCCCCTGTGCGCGCCGCCAATCATGGCGCCAACATCGCAGAGCGGATTTCGTTCGGAAAGCAAGAGGACGGGCCCGGAGTGTCCTGGAGAATTTCGTTCCGGATTTCGAAGTGAAGCTCGTGCGGATCGCTTGGGTCAGGAATGAAGACTAAAAAACACCCACGCGAAATTCACTTGTTTTTTCGCTCGCCGTGTCGGGGTTTTGAATCGAAAGCAATCCACGCACAAATCCGCTGCAGCACGTCTGCAAGGTCGGTGCAGTGACACATCAATCACGCCCCCTTGGGTGTTGACTCTCCATGTGTGCTTTCATGCAGCCTTGCGAGCGAGGGGGGAAGGGAGAAGGAGAAGACCTTAGAAGGCGGCGGGACTTCTCAGAAGCCCTCGCGCCTTCTGAGAAGTTTTTTCTTGTGCCTTCGGGGAAGGCTTCGAAAACTTCTCAGAAGGCCCGTGGACTTCCGAGCCTTCCGAGAAGGCCCGCCCCTTCTCACTTCCCCCCTGGGCGCGCCGCCTAGTTACGGTGTTATGGAGGTCTAGCCGAGACCAGTCCTTTCCCAGACGCTTCCGGCGTACGGGTCTACCCGTGCCGTGGAATCCGTGCGGGGGCCCCGGGATCGGCGCAGGCAACGCTCACGAATCAGGGACGCGTGTGGTTCCATCGCGCTGGCCCCGAGCGCTCCCGCTGTGCAAGGCGTGTGCCGGCCACGGGGCACCGGCCATGGGCCGACTGGTGCCCACAGGGAGCCATAGGGCGCCGACGACGGGGCACCGGCCGGGAGCGGCCGACGGGGGCCCAGAGGGAGCCATACGGTGCCAGCCAGGGGGCACCGACGAATGGGCGCCGACGGGAACCGGCCGAGTGGCCCAGAGGGAGCCACAGGGGCGCCAGCCACGGCGCACCGACCAGGGGGCACCGACGGAGAGCGGCCGACTGCGAACCGCAGGGAGCCGGGGGGCTTCTCACAGCCAGGGATCCGAGGGCGTCTTGTTTTGTCGGGGAGTCGGATCAGTAAACATATGCGAATCGGAGTGTTCACACATGTATGTATGTATATCCATATATACACATATTTGTAGATATGCACATACACGCCTATACGACCACCCTTCAGGCGACAAGGGTAGGGTGGGTGGGTGGGGGGATGGTGGGTGGGTGGGTGGGTGCAGACAGCTTCAGGTTTGCGATTGACGTCGGATCGGATTCGCAGGAATCCAGGGATCTTACTATATATATATATATATCGATCTTCATATCTATCGGTTTTTCTAGCTAGTATCCGATCGAAGTTTTGAACTATCAAACTATCAGCTGGTCTCGCTATCTACCAGTCCCACTAGAGATCCATTGATCTCACCGTCAGTCAATCTATCTCTCCATTCCTTTCTCTCTACCCCATCAGTGCCACTATCGTCCTATCTATCGACGGGGCAGCCGCGGGACACCCACGGGACAGCCGCGGGACAATTATGGGCAACCAAGAGGCAACCAAGGGACAACCGCGGGACATCTACAGGACAACCGTGTGACATCCACGGGGAAATCATGAAACAACCACGGACAATTGTGGGACAACCACGAAACAACGACGGAGCAATTACGGCACAATCACGGGACAACCATGGGACAATCGCAGGAACACTACGGGACAACCATCGGGACAACCACACGACAGCTGTGGCACAACCACCGGAACATCTCGATCTCGCTATCATTCTGTCCATCGACAACCATGGGACA